AGTCGTTTAGTCGTGTCCGACTCTTCGTGACCCCATGGACCAGAGCACGCCAGGCCCTCCTATCTTCCACTGCCTCCTAGAGTTGTGTCAAATTCATGTTGGTTGCTTCGCAGACACTGTCCAGCCATCTCATCCTCTGTGGTCCCCTTCTCCTCTTGCCGTCACACTTTCCTAACATCAAGGTCTTTTCCAAGGAGTCTTCTCTTCTCATGAGACGGCCAAAGTACTGGAGCTTCAGCTTCAGGATTTGTCCTTCGAGTGAGCACTCAGGGTTGATTTCCTTTAGAATTGATAGGTTTGTTCTCCTTGCAGTCCAGGGGACTCTCAAGAGCCTCCTCCAGCACCATAATTCAAAGGCATCAATTCTTTGGCGGTCTGCTTTCTTTATGGTCGAGCTCTCACTTCCATACATCACGACAGGAAAAACCATAGCTTTGACTATTCAGACTTTTGTTTAGCATAGTAAGTCACAAATAGAGGAGGCCCACTGAATCAATGGAACTTACACAGGAGGTGACTCAACAAATCCCCACTGATTCAGTGGGTCTACTCTAATGTGATGCGCTAAACCAAGCAACATAACTTCAGACACTGATTCCTTTTGAAGTAAAGGTATGCTCAGACAGGCAAATACAATCACACTAATGACACATAAAGCATGACCAAAAAACAACAACAACCAAACACCACCCTTTCTTGATGATCTTCTACAATTGTTTGCTAAACTCAATGACAATTGTTCATGTAAGATGCACACAGAAAGCCTGTTCTTGTAAGAAACAATCCACAATTTCAATCTCTTGAAAGAGAATTATTCTTTCAAGCAAGAGTCCCAAAAAGGGTTTTGACCGCTGATTGTTTTGTGTCATGCAAAAACACAGCAAAATTACCTATGTGTACATATGCTTCTCCACCTAAGAGATGAAAGACTGTCACGGCACGGAACAACTTTTTGTGGGGGAATTACTCCTAGCTGGTTGAGTAGCTCAATGGTTTATCCATTTGATTCCCCACTGTCCTTCCTGTGGGTACAGTTGGCCTGTGTAGCCTTTAGCAAGCTGCACGGTCCCAGGATACCCCCAGCAGAATGAAATGTTAGACCACTTCTGAGTGCTCTCTGTTTATAAACCCAGAAAAGGATTGCCATAAGTCAGAACAAACAATTATTCTTATTCCTATTGTTATTATTAATGTCCTAATATGTGAGATGGTTGTAGTTTTCTACAGATCATGCCAATGGCTGGAATCAGACTTTCACACAATAGTCAAAAGCGCTACAGCAGAGGCCTCACTGTTTGTGTGGTGTACACATTCATTTATTTTAAGCCTCTCCTGGTCAAGCAGGCTATGCCAGCTTTTGAAGCCTTTCAGAACCTTCTGAAATGTGTAAACAAAGATGACATCATTGTGTATCCCATCAGCAGCAACACCTCTGTCATACCGCCTTCAACTCTCTGAGAATAAGATTGGCCAACTCTGGGGTAAAAGCCTTTCCCCCCTCTTCTGTCTTTCTCGCTCAGTGCCTTGTTCTCCAAAAAAAATGGTAGGGTATGAACTGAGAAGAGAAAATGAATCACAATGTGAAGATAAATAGAAAATATTTATTCACATTACATTTTTAGCCTATTCCTCAAGTTTAGAGTAGAGTGTCTCACAAATCTCCTTCATGAGAGTCAAACCATGATGTGACATGAAAGAGGATGAGCAAACTGATAGTCAATTGGGATCACATCCATTTCTATATATTTTACAGCTATCCTTTCCCCTCTTCTAACAGGTTCAAGGGAACATATACCATTCTTCTTCGGCCAATGCTGTCTTGACAAAAAAAATATATAAAAAATCTGCCAGTCAGTTAAGGTTGAGAGAAAGTAATCGGTCCAAGGTCAGCCAAGGAGTCTCATGACTTGAAATGATTGTGAACCCATACCCCACTACTCCTGCCAGGGTGCCATACATAGTGATCCTTTCCAAAGGTGGACACCACTGGACACCAAAGAGGAAAAATCACCAAAGAGGGAAAAAAAATCTTCAAATTCTGCAATTTGAAGTGACAAAATAGCAAGAAAGGAAAGAGATAAGCATCCCTGCACCTCAGCTGTTTATCTCCTCACAGATGCCACCTCCGAAGCAGCACTTTTTAAAAACTCCCAGACCATAATTGGGAGACAATCCACACCTTTGCGTATAACATGCAAACACTCTCCAAGCATTACATGAACCTCAACTCTACCATGATCAATTGGCTATGAGCCAACTCCTTTGCACATTCAGTGGGATATGTGTTTTTCCATGTCCATTCGTACCTACTCTCTATAAAACACACGAAGCGCAAATGTTTTTCCCCATTTGCTCTCAAAGGAATACCTGCAGGAGCAGAATCTTACTCAATTTGGTATAAGCAACTAACCAAAAGAAGCAAGGGGAACATGTAGTAACACAGCTTACATTTTTACCAGTTGCATAAAGAAATATTTTTTAAAAATGGTGCCATTGTTTTCATCCATAGTACTCCATTCATGTGTTAAAATGTCACCAGCAATAAAAGGCAGCACCTAAGCATCAATGGGAGTTATTCACAGATTACCTTTCATATTCAGCTTCTCATAGAAAGTTATTTCAAAAGTTGGAAGAGAAGATGCATTATTTTTACAACAGAGACTAGTCCAGGAAATGTGACTGTATAATGTAAAAAAGAGAAGTGCCCTGGCTGTCACTGTAAGCAATAGATCTTGCTGTCTACAGCTGTTAAATAAACTTATTGTGTTAGGTTTTTTTTAAAAACAATATTATACATCTCCAACAATCTAGCTGTTCCTATATTCATTATATGCTATTTAAAAATGTCCTAGTTTCCTTTTCTTGTGCCTTATCTTTCATCCAACAGGGGAACTTAACATCCAAAATATGTTACAACTGCCTAGATGGACAGTTATATAAAGTCAGGAACAGTGAGAGAGAAACATCAAACATGGGCGAAGTCCTTATTTTTCTTTTCTTTTCTTTTCTAGATTGCTTGTACAGTATCAATAGAACCTGAGGCTGATTGTGCCCATACAATCCCATCAAACAAAGGGCAGTCTCTGTCGCACACACTGCCACAGCAGCTACAGACTTAAAAGACTACTTCTTGTGGTTCTCTCTCAGCTGCAAGGTTCAGATTCAATCTATTGCACAGATTAATTCAAGCCGCACCCTGGCTAACCAAAAACTGACAACGGGTAGCCAAACTTGTATGTATCGTCGCCATCTTTTAAACTAGAAGTGGGCAAGTTTAATGAGTGCAGGGGCAGTTTTCTATCAATTTTTATTTCCTGGAAATATGAAATCAGAAGTGGCTAGAACCCCATTCCTAGTTTTGGGGGAAAAATGCTATTTGGTGGAGTATTAAATGATAAAGAGAGAGAGAGAGAGAGAGAGAGAGAGAGAGAGAGGTCATGGAACGGAGGAGACCAGTCATATAAAATGAAAGGCTATGTTTCATCTTTGATCCCTTTCCTCAAAAACTGAAGACAAGCTACTGTGTTGTAATTGTCAGTGGCATAAAAAAATCAAATTCAGACTAGAAAGGAAGATGTGTGTTTCTTTTTTTTCCTCCCCCCAAAAGAAGAAACCCAGAGGGAGCTGGGGGGGCTGCAGAAACAGCCCTGGGCCACATGTATGTGCAGGGCTGCGTGTCCTTTCCCCCCTCCCCTTTTGCTTCTGGTTCACTAACAACCATGCTGACAGCCACCAGTCGTGTTCAGCCTGGGAAATATAGTCTGGGCTCTGGCCGCGGCAGGTGCTGCGGCCAGATAGCAAAGCAAGGAGGAGAAGAACGAGTGAGTAGCATCAGAGCTTTCAAAAGCAATCTTCTGAACTCTGATCCTCCTCCACTTCACCATCATCTCTTCCCTTCCTTCCACAACCCTTGCCACTATTTAATCTTTAACCTGGGAGGTGAGACATTCAGTTTTCTTCCTGGGAAGGAGAATCCAAGAGGGCAGAGTTGTCTCACTTCTAAGAACGCATCTTCTGGACATCGCCCCAGGGCAAGTGCTGTGGCGGGAGAGGAGAGCACAGTGAGAAACCCACAGTGAGAGACCCCAGGAGTAGCACGTTTTGCCTTCCTCCTGCACAGGACATCTCTTCCCCCCCCCCAGGAGCCCTAGCAGCAGAGGAAGGCTATGCAGGCTTGCCATGTCCTCCCTGGTCGGGCAGCTGCCCCCCCCCCGGGGCCTGCCAAGGAGGCAAACCCGAGTAAGAGGGCTTTGGCACCAGCCGAGCCTCCAGGGAGGGCTGGGGGGGGGGGCTGCTTCACGTTTCAGTAAGGTGCCTCCATATAGGAAGCTTAATAGGTGAAAATATTAAGCTAATGATTCTAGAAAACGGGAGCTCTCCTTCGGTGTGTGAGAGACTGTGGGAAGTGTGTATGTGTGTGTGTTTGAGAAAGGCTGATTAACACAGAGAAAAAAAATGAGTTAAAAAGCTCCAGATGTGAAATAAAGGTTTTTAGGGCATATTTTCCTAGGGAACTAATGAAGAAACATGAGTTATCCCGCTCACTCCTGGACTCCTTTCCCTAGTCTCCGCCACCTCACCACAGTTTAATAAAAGAAATAAAAAGATATTGCAGAGAGACCTTTAAAAACATGGATATTTTCCCGCCCTTTCCATGCGTTGTGTTCCGAGTGTTCCCGATTGTTATCTGTGAAACAACCGGAGGGCGATCGTTCTTCTGCACTAATTAACACGGCGATCCTGCACATGCGGATTAAGCGTGCTGGGTGTTTCCCGCAACGAGCGTGGCGTGGGCGAGTGGGTGGTCTTCAGGCTCATTCTACCACTGACTAGGAAAAGTGCACGGCAAGGAGGAGCTGGCGAGTGTTCGCCGCACACGAAGGACCGGGGAAGGTCCGCGCGTCTGGGTCCCATCGCCTCACTGCGAGAAGCTCCGGCCGCCCCGCGGCTTTTCCCGCGCTTCTCCCGCCGCCCCAGCAACTTTTTCGGCCCGCGCTTACCTTCCAGCCTGCGGAGCTGTTGCTGTCGCCCTTATCCTTGAAGTAGGGCACGCAGCGCACCATCCACTCGTAGATCTGGGACAGGGTGAGGCGCTTCTCCGGCGAGCTCTCGATGGCGCGAGTGATCAAGTCCGCGTAAGACAAGTTCCCCCACGCGTTCCTCCGGGACGAGCATTTGCGCGGGGCGGTCCCCGTGCCCGTCGCCCCTGGTTGTTGTTGTGGTTGCTGCTGCCCGCCGCCCAGCGCCCCCCTGGCGCCCTGGCCGGCTCCCTCGCCTGCAAGCCCGGAGAAAGGAGCCAGCA